CAGGTGGATTATGAGGACAAGAGATGGAGACCATCCTGACCAACAACATGTTGAAACCCCATCTCTGCTAAAAAATACAAAAATTAGCTGGGCGTGGTGGCATGAACCTGTAGTCCCAGCTACTCGGGAGGCTGAGGCAGGAGAATCATTTCAACCCGGGAGATGGAGGTTGCAGTGAGTTGAGATCACACCGCTGCACTCCAGCCTGGGGACAGAGCAAGACTCTGTCTAAAAAAAAAAAAAATCAATTAATGAAAGTAATTGACAAGAGTTGAAGCACTTTGCCGCTGGTGTAAGGGGAAAAGGACCACTCTAGATGATAGCTGGCTTATAAAGCACTGTGAGGTTCCTGAGCTCCATCCACCTAGACTATGGCTCTCCTCATTTTGATGTCCAGCCCCTCCTGGACTCAAAAGCATACATTCAAGAGATGGGAGGAAGTTACAGGGTTTATCTGGTTAAGCTGTACCTGGAGTCTGAGAAAAAGTAGAACAAGCTGTCTTGACCTTTTACTGAAAAAACAAACAAACAAACAAAAACAAACAAACAAACAAACAAACAAAAAACACCCTTTGCTGAAATAGATGATAAAAAGATCCAGAGGGGGAACCACAAAGAACCTTCTGAACTGCTTCCTCTATTGGAAAGAGTGTACTTATTGAAGATAAATTTTTTTAGTCTAGTATTATCAGCCCCACACAGTTACTCAAAAGTATTTAAGTTCCTGGGAATCATATGAGCAGTAGCAATCTCAACAAACATTAGCCAGTAAAAAACAAAAACGAAAACAAATTGCTGATCTTGAAGAAATTTAAACCGGAAAGCAAATGCATCCTTAGTTTTGTTTAAACCATATCTCAAATTTAGTTGTTTTTTTGCTTTTTCATCCACCAGGCATTCAAAAGGAGGTTGCTTTATACATCTTTTCTGTGTTTTTCTACAGTAAACTCAAAATTCGAACTGAGACACATATTTTAATTAATTCAAAGATTGAAATATTTTCCCCAGAATTTGTATAGCTTATGTTTCCTCTATTTATGTTGTGTGAAAACAAAGTTTTCCATTATATTAAAACTGTCTGAATATTACTATATAACACATTGGAAAATATCAAAAATTAATTTAATTAATTAAATATAAAATAACTGCAATATGCTAGTGTCTTTTAATATTTGCTTCTTATGAAACCCAAACAAGGTGACTAAAGTATGAGCATATGAAAATACTTTAATTTTCTGCTTGAATATTTTAACTTATAAGTATTGATTAGATTAAGTTGTATATGTTGACATGCTTAAATCAATTTTAATATAAAAATGAAATTAAAATGCTAGTATCTGTATTCATGAACTTTTTTTTTTTTTTTTTTTTGAGATGGAATCTTACTCTGTGGCCCAGGCTGGAATGCAGTGGCATGATGGTAGCTCTCTGCAAACTCTTGCCTCCCACATTCAAGTGATTCTCCTTCCTCAGCCTCCCAAGTCGGGATTACAGGCATGAACAATTAACTTTTGTATTTTTAGTGGAGACAAAGTTTCACCATGTTGGCCAGACTGATCTTGAATTCCTGATCTCAAGTGATCCGCCCCCTCGGCCTCCCAAAGTGCTGGGATTACAGGCATGAGCCACCACAACCAGCCTGTGAGCATCTTTTTAAAGTTGAAACTCAACTCTTCCAATTATGATAGCACCAGACTTAATCTTCCACTCTGTTGTTGGTTAGAAAACTGGGTTGGCCACAGTGGCTAATGCCTCTAATCCCAGCATTTGGGAGACTGAAGTTGGAGAATCTCTCGAGCCGAGTATTTTGAGGCTGCAGTGAGCTATGATTGCACCACTGCACTCAAACCTGGGTGTCAGAGTTAGACCTTGTTTCAAAAAATTTTTTTATATCATGAATAAAACTGGAAAAAAAATAAGTACAACTGCTTCCTGACATTGAGCAACAGTTAGTGCAGGACTTTAAACATTAAAAAATGAAAACAAATGTAAATGTAATAATTGCTCTGGTTTTCTGCATAAGGAAACTTTCCAGATCATGGTCAGGGAAAGGGATCCATTCTGATATTGCCAAATTCAGAAGACAAAAACCAGAATTTTAGGGCACTGAGATGCTATAATTAGTGAGAAGAGAACCATAAAGGGGATAGCTATGCAGAGGCAGAGGTCCAGAAATCTTCAAGGAAGTATCCTAAATTTGTTGTCTAACACTAAGCTGTGCATTTATAAACCTATGCATGTAATAAAAGTTTAAAATACAGTCAAAGATTAGCCAGGTAGTTGTAAGCTGTATGATTAATAATAAGTCAATTATTATTAAAGCATATGCCCAACTAATAACAACTATAAACCTTCTGATATCATTTGGCTCCATGTCCCCACTCAAGTCTCATGTTGAATTGTAATCCCTAATGTTGGAGACAGATCTAATGGGAAGGGATTGGATCATGGGAGTGGACTTTCGCTTTGCTGTTCACATAATAGTGACTTCTCACGAGATTTGGTTTTTTAAAAGTGTGTAGAACTTCCCCCCCTTCACTCTCTCTTCCTCCTGCTTCCACTACATAAGACATGCTGGCTTCGCCTTCACCTTCCGCCATGATTGTAAGTTTCCTGAGGCCTCCACTGCCATGCCTCTTGTAGAACCTGTGGAACTGTCAATCAATTAAACCTCTTTTCTTTATAAACTACCCAGCGTCAGGTAGTTCTTTATAGCAATATGGAAAGGGACTAATACACCCTCCCTATCATGCCTTTTTAAAAGTCTCAAAAAAATCAAATTAGTCTTCAAGTTTAAGCTCCTGCATGAAATAAAGTAATATCTTGTGAAAAAAAGAAAAATTTGAGCACTCAATCAAATAAAACTCATAATATCCAGCATCTAGTCTACATTATTATATATGCCAAGAAGCAGGAAAATCACATAACAAATAGCTAGGAGAAAAATTAATTAATAAAAACAGGCCTGTAAATTTCAGAGATGACAACGAGAGAGAAGGTCTTTAAAATATATATTATAAGCATGCATAAGGATTTCAAGAAATGCATGGATACAGAGTATAAAAGTTAAAAATATAAAAAAATTAAAAAACATAAAATATAAAAAAATACTAGAAAAGGAAAAGCAAATAGCTAAAGAATAGGAACAATTACAGAAAAAGAAAATGGAAAAAACCATGTGCTTTAATTAATAAGAAACTCAACTGAAATGGTTTAGACCATAAATATTTATTAAAAGTCAGAGTTAAAACAAGTTTCAGGACCTAGCTTCTCACGGAATCAAGGATTAATTTTATTTCCATTTATTGCTATATCTGCTTATTTGGCTTTCTCTTAAACCTACTTCCTTTATAGACATACACATATGCCAGTAATAAAGCAGGCTACATGTATTCTTACTAATGTCCAATAAGAGATATAAAACATCTACATTGAAATAAATGCAGTAGTATTAAGTTGTTTGGTGGTTCTTGCTAGATTACCTTCCAACCTTCAACCAAGAAGATAGAATGTCTTAATTGACTTTTCCATACATCGTCCATCTCTGGAGCTGGAGAAAGTAGACGGGCTAACATTGATAGAAGAAAGACCTCCCATTCCCATGAAAGGCATGCATGGAGAAAAGGTGGATACTATAATAGATATGTGATTGTAGGGCAGAATGCAATATATAGAAATACTATATACTGAGTTGGAAAATAGGAAAGTCTATGAAAATTCATTATAAGATAAAAATTTTATCTTATCATAAAGATAAAAATTTTTATCTTATCATAATGAAAATATTACTTCCTCAAAAAAAAACTTTCCTGTTTACACTCTAATGACTCATCTCTCGCCACTATGACCAGCAACTACTAGCTAGCACATTAATTCTTCCAGTTAGCTTCTAACAACATATAAAATGTTTTGATTAATTGTTTATGTGTTAATCTATGTCCTGTCCCATAAAAGTTTAACCTACAAGAGAGGAAGGATATTATCTCTCTTACTCACCACTATTATCTTGTATATATAAGATATTATCTGTCTTACCACTATTTTCTTATATGCTTAAAACAATATCTGCCTCATTATAGATATTTTATAAATATCTGCCAAATAAAATGATAAATTGATATATATAATACATATCTATGTACATATATACATTTCTTTATATTAATTAAAACTTTTGAGGCTCCATATGTACCAGAGTCCTGGTATTTCTACCTTTGTTATACCAAGTAATTCTCACAGGTCTATGGGCAAGACAATATTACTACTACTTTCCTGAAAAGAAATATGAGGAACAGAGAAATTCTGTGGCATGTTCATAGCTACATAGGTAGTAAACAACAAAGACAGGACAGCAAGATGAAAACCCAGGGTTGTCTGATTAGAAAACCCACATTATTTACCACAATACTGTATTTTTGACATCAATACTTAGTATCTTTTCATCATATTGCATCAGAAAAGGAAGTAGGTAGCACATGAAAGTATTGCTTCTAATTGTATTTATTTTTGCTCTGCAATGAAAAATGTATTTAAAAATACCATATGTTGCACATTTCCATATATGGCACAGGATACAAATTCAGTTAAGATATAAGTCTGCCCAGTAGAAGGTGGGAGAAGGGGAAAAAAGAAGAAGATATAGAAAATATAAGATGAATCTGATCCTTAATATGATTTTTACTTCATCTGTGCTTTTACTCAAATGATAGCTTGTGCAGATGCAAGGACAGACTGTGCTATTTCAAGATGCTGTATATGGGGGGAGGAAGAGAAGGCCAAGCATCTCTACTTCCTGAAGGAAAAAGCACTTTGGTCCCCATAGGTGGGCGAAAAAAAGAAGTTAAATAAATGAGAGGAATATTATACAGGGGAGCAGAAGTATGTGTTTTGCATGGAGGCCTCATTTTAGCAATACCTTTTTTACTCTTCTGCTTCCAAATCTTATTTGCCAATGTAATGCCTTTATAGAAAGATCTTATAATGAATGAAAAACTTTCAAGTGCTGTTGTCTCATTAAATGCATTATTTATTTATTTAACTTCTAGTACTCGATAAAAAGCCAGGGAAATGAGTTGTTGAGTTCCAGGGGAAAAATGAGAACATAATTTTGAATTTATTATCTCTCTCTATACACACACAGAGTTTATAATTGGATTACATATAATAATGATATCAATATGTCTATCAGTATCAGAGTTGGATTCTGGTATATTCTCATGTGGGTTTCCTGTGTTACAGTCAGCATAGATTTTCTGGAACATTTTTCTGTTGCTCTTTTGGTGGCATCAAACCTCATTAAGTGGAGCAGGAGATGCTGTTCCTGCCATGTGAGAATTTGGTGGCAGAATTAACACAACCTGTGAAATCAATCAGAATGCCATTGGTGAGTCACCCAAGTAATCTCAGAGTACCCCTTTCCTGCTCACATAAATTCATCATTACCAGAGTTTACTCTTTTCTTCTCTGATTCATTCTCAAGATCAAGCATGTGGGGCTTCTCAGTCATCCTCTAGATCAGGCCAGATTTAGGGCATAACATTCAGTGATAGCTCTTGACCTGAGCTGCTGATGACCACTTTCCCGGTCTTGCAAGTGGATCAATCTTATGTGTGGATGGTGGTGCCCAATATGTTGAGTAAACCAAGGTGTCATGAAAAATATGGGGCTCTTCTTCCAAACCAGATTGTTCATGCTGATGACCTCAACATACCCAAATCATGATTTACTGGTTATGAATAAAGCATTTGCAAAAAAAAAAAAAAAAAAAAAAAAAAAACCACACTGGCCCAGAATAGCTGGGATCATCACAAAACTCAGAATAAGTTCTGGTTGTTCTTCCACAAACTCGGTTTGACATAGGGTTGGCAGAAGCACCAGGAAGAGATAAAGTGCTAGTCATCATATGCCTCCAAACCACTGCTTTTCTGAATTCACACCAGGAGATCAGGAAACAACATTCCCCAGCTCCTATGCTAAGAGCTGAAGGGAATACAGGCTTAAATATTATGACATGAAAGTTACTAAAGAGTTTGCCTCCATGTCCAAATGTTTTACTTAATGAAAACAGAAAGCTTTACTCAAGGAAATTACAGAATTATTGGTAATTGCTGAGAATCTCTCAATCTTGTGTTTTGCAATGCAAAACCCCACTACTAGAGTTAATGTGCTATAGACAATTTCTACTCTGTGAGGAAAGGCTGTAGGGAAGTGGGATGTGGTGTTGCCTTGGGAATCTCAAAAGAAGGCAGAGAGGTACAAAATGATGGAGAAGGGGAACAGAAGAACCATCTCATCACACTATGATCATTTTATTGTTTGGCTGTCGGTTTTGTCTGCCTGTGGGCCTTTGGGTAATGAAGCTAATGGGAAGCTGTTGGGGTTTATTATCCATTTCCTCATTCTGCCATCCTGAACCCTTGGAGGATATCCCTCCCTGTTCTTCCTAGAGCCTCTTTCTTGGTCTCTTCTCTCCTTCTATTCCCCACTTTCCTCTCTCTGTGTGACATTCTTTGGGCTTAGCTGCCAGGATCATCTAATGCAGGTCTTGGGGTAAGAGAGTGAGCAGGTGTGCACAGACTGATAGAGAAGTCTGAGATCCTGACATTTCTTCCCTATTCCAGGAAAACTTGTAATAGGATAATGGAATAAAATAAAATACTTTTGGGGGGCTTTTTCATTGTGAATTATTTTTGTATCTGGATTCAGAGGTTATGCCCTTTAATGGAGAAAGGAAAGGGAAAAAGAGCTCTTATGTAGCTATTGTGGTAGGCAGAGTTCTAAGGTGACACTCACTGACCCCTGATGATTCCCTCCCCTCCAGTGTGAATGGAACCTATGTATAAGATGGGATACAAGTCCTGTGTGTAGGTACTGACTACCTGACTTTCAGTTTATCAAAGAAGGGATTATTCTGAATAGACCTCACCTGTTCATGTGAACCCTTTATGAGAGGATTAAAGCATTAGCAACTGAATTTCCTGCTGGTCTTAGAGAAAATGTACATTGTCCTGAGTTCTCCAACTGAGAGGAAATGAATTCCGCCACATTAGCACAGAAGAGAATTAGAAGCTTCAGACAAGGCCACAGACCCAGCCAACTTCCTGATGACAGCCTTGTAAGATCCTGAGCTGAGGACCCACTTCAGCTGGGTCCAGACTCTTGACCCTTGGAAACTGAGAGATAATGAATGTGTGCTGTGTTAAGACTCTAAGTTTGTGTAATTGATTATTCAGCAATAGAAAACTAATACAGACATCTTCAAATGAAGGCCAATACTCACCCCACCGGGGTTACAACACATCGCTTTACATCCAAAGGCAGAGAGGGACACAGCAATGCAGAATTCTAGCACACTTAAGAGGAGCACTAAGCCATCCATACCCTAGGAGAAAACTCATACCAAAGAAATGTGAGAAATGGAGATGACAGGTGAAAACATTTACTAGTAACCACAATGTCACAAGAGGAAAAGCCCTGGCTGGGAGTCAGGAAACCTGCCTCCCAACTTCAGCCATACCCTTGACCGATTCTTGATCTGCTGAAGTAATTTCTCATTTTTTTCACTGACAAAATAATCACAGACATTTATTCCCTAGTTCAGTACTTCCAAGTGCTATTGTGCATAAGAAAGATGAAAGTGCTTTAAAAAATCAGAAAGGCAGTATAAAGACAATTATCATCTTAGTCCTTTTGAGTACTAGAAATTCATATCATTGACAAAATATTTTTATTCCATAATTTAGTGCTTGTAAGCAGAGTAATGGTACCCCAGGGAGATCTGCTAATCCTAATCTAATCCTCAGGTTCTGAGGTTTAGAATGCAGACCTCCCTGGGGGACCATTGTTCTTTTTGCATAGCAAAAAGCATTAAATTTGCAGATGAAATTAAGATTGCTTATTAGCTAGAATGGGAGAATTTTTCGGGATTATTCAAGTGGGTTCAAAGTAATGACAGAATCTTTTTAAGTGGAAGCAAGAGGCAGAATAGAGTTCAAGAGAGATTTGAAGATGCTGCCTTGCTTGATTTGAAGGTAGAGGATGTGATGATAAACCAAGAAACATAGGCAGCCTACAGAAGCCAGAAAAGGCAATAAAACTTACCATCGCCTAATCTTCGGAAAGGAGTGCAGCCTTGCCAGTGCCCTGATTTTAGCCTAGTGAGCTCCGTTTTGATCTTCTGACCTCCAGAAATATAACCAAACTGTGTTGTCTTGAGACACTAAATTCATAGTAATTTGTTATAGTAACAATAAGAAGCTAACACAACAGTGAACACCAAGTAGGTCAGTCTTTATTCCGTCTCCCAAGAGCACTGATTTAGGTCTAGTCCTCAGCTAAGAAAGATGGTCAAAATTTGGAGAACATTGGGCAGTACACTGATTTCTATTAATTTTACCCTGGATTGACACAGGGATTATCTGGTTTAAAAATTCTCTTTTTCTCTCCATAGTTAGGGATAGTCTCTCTGTTGTGGAAGAGCCAATAGACCAAGAACTCGGGATATGAGTGATGCAGACTTAAGACCTTGAGAATATGTGCATTCATTGCTGATTTATTTCCTGGTACCTTCAACAGACGTAGTGGCCTCTCGGTTTCAAACACTGTTGTAGGCACAGAAGATAGAGCAGCAAACAAAACAGGCAATTCTCCTGTCTTCATAGATTTAACATCTAGAAGGGTAGACTAGAAGATGGCAAGCTTTCTGTGAAGGCCAGATGGTGTACATTTTAAGTTTTGCAGACTCTAAAGTGTCTCTCACACATAATCAAACCTGCTGTTATCACACAAAAGCAGCACTACACAGTATGTAAACAGATGGGCTTCTTTATATTTCAATTAAACTTTATGAAACTTTATTTACAAAAACAGATATAGGGCTGGGCCTCCAAAAAAAGTTCCATATCATGTAGAGTCTCTTGTTTAAAATTTTTAAAAATAATTTCAAGATAGCAACAGCAGAGCATTAGATCAAGCACAGGGCTCTTTCAACTGTGAAGACCTGAGTAACTGCACAGGTCCCATGCTCAGGAAATCAGCCCTACGAAGCCAGCCAATTCCAGATTTCGTCTCTATCATTGTGCCCTTAAAATATACAAATGAAGAGATCTTCAGAAACTAAAAGTAAAGTATTCTTCAGGATAACTGTAGCAAATAAGAGGGGAATTAGAAACAAGAAGTTGTAGAATCAAATCTTGCTTTTGCCAATTTCCGAGTGACCTTGGAAGAATTTGTCAAATTCTCTGAATAAGATTTTCTTATTTTGAGTGAGTGGCAAGAAATAAAACTGCTTACTATAAAGAACTCTAGGAATCTCAAGGGAAGTGAATTAGTTTAGCAAAGACACCTCAGGGGGTGATTTTGGCGTGACTATATAGCCCACAAAACTATGTAGAATTAGCTAGGAATGAAGTAAACAGAGTGCAATTGATTCTGCTTAGTAAGTTAGGAACAACGTTGAGTTTCCATGTTTACATGAGGGAAGGACACAGTGAGGAATAGAACTAAGCAGCAAAGTGAAAGGCTGAAAGTCCATATACAGGAAAAGTAACAGAAAATTTGCTGGTGTTGAAAACGACCAATAGGATTTTCCTTCCCCCTTTTCTCCCTCTCTTATTCCCTCTCTTTCGCCCTCCCTCTCTTTCTCCTTCCCTCCCTTCCTCCCTTCCTCCCTCCCTTTTTCCCTTTCTCTCTCTCTTTCTTTCTTTTTGACAGAGTCTCTCTCTGTTGCCCAGGCTGGAGTGCAATGACGCGATCTCAGCTCACTGCAACCTCTGCCTCCCGGGTTCAAGTGATTCTCCTGCCTTAACCTCCTGAGTAGCTGGGTTAAAGGTGTGCACCACCATGCCAAGCTAATTTTTGTATTTTTAGTGGAGACAGTTTTCACCATGTTAACCAGGATGGTCCTGAACTCCTGACATCGGGCAGTCGGCCTGCCTTGGCCTCCCAAAGTGCTGGTATTACAGACATGAGCCACCATGCCTGGCGACACCTTTTAATAATAGTGATTTATTTGTGCATTTTAGTCTGCTGTTACGTGCTGCAAGAACTCTTCCTCCTCACACCTACCCAATGACCTAAAATGTCAGGAAGTTTTATTACCTACAAAATATTGTATAAGTGGTATTTTCAGAATAAAGCAATTAGGATAGCATTGAGATAAGAACAATGGGTATAAAAAGTAGTAAAATTCAGAATGAAGGTTGAGAATTTTCCAGGAGCTAGATGTTGAGGATAAAAATGATTAACCTTGCAAGAACACCCAAAGATACTTAAAAGGGTACTGAGTTACTCCCCACTTGTAAAATACTGTTCAAGACAATTTTGCTTCATTACTAGAGAATGGGGACTGACATCTGGGCCCCGTTTTTAGTGAGGATAATAGTACATACTGAATCAATGTTTTAAAATTTAAATTGAAAAATTTATATAAAATAGCCAGCACAGTAACTAGTAATGAGTAGGTATTCTGTAACTGTAAGCTTTCTTCCCATTGTGCCTCATTGTATATAGAAGAAGAATAAAGACATGGATGAGACACCTACCTAACTCTTAAATAAAACATTATTCTATTTCTCAATCACTCCAATGTCATTCAGCAATTAGGGATCAATTATTGTTGTTGCCAGAGCCAGCACTCCCCAAACTTGCTCCTACGATGATATCCCATGAAAAGAGGCAGCACTAACCATCAAAATGGACACAGTCCCGTGACAATCATTTGACTCATCATAGTAGTAACAGTAAGGGTGATGGAATGAATAAATATCCAAGCTAAATGCGTTGATTAAGATCCCTGACACAGCCAATACAGAGCTGGTGATATTCACTCCCAGACTACCTCGAACCTAGAAAGGAATGAAAATCAATTAAACAACCAACAGCATCCTCAGATATATCTCCGTGAATCACTTTACACCCACTATTTATTTCTTACTGCCGTCTATCTTTATCTTGATTGTTTCCACAGTCTTCTAACTTATCTCCTTAGAGTGGTTTCAACTCTAATCTCTTGCCAAAATATAAATACGATCCCATTATTCCCCAGCTTAAATTCTTCAGATGATTCCTATGGGTACATGAGATGACCTCCAGATCTCTTCAGCAGTGTTTCCAACGTCTTTCGCACATTAGCGGGACCGCCTGATTTCTTATCTTTTTTCTAAATGCTGTTTGCCTGTCATGCCTCTCTATCTTTTGTATATTATCTCTCTCAGCAGTGTATTGTTTTCTGTACATTCTCTTCTCACAGGTAAAGGTTAGGAGGCTTTCAATAAGAGCTAAAATTGCACAGCAAAGTGTGAGGAGCCTAGTGTGGCTGCAGCTGGAAGAGACACGAGGCCAGATTTGGAAAACCCATGTTTATTATGCTCCAGAGTTTGATATTTATCTTTTGAACAAACTAAACTCAAATATAAACTTGAACTAGAAAAAAACATTTATTGAGATATGGGCTTTTGCATTTTATTGACTTTATGAAAGGTATCTTGGCATGAGAGTTACATTTTAAATTTGCTTCTTCTTATGCAATAACCTATTGTGAATTTCTTTTATTGAAAACTCAAATACAGTTGGAATCTACATTTTAATCAATCAGTCAGTAAATATTATGCCACACCAATGCTTGGTGTCACTGTCATGGGCCGACTCTCATGCTGCAGGGTTTTGCTAAGTAGTCCCACTTAATAGTTCTTCTCAATAATTCTCTGTATCTAAAAACAGATTCCCTCAGCAAGGGCAAGATTCCCTTCCTTGCCAAAATATCCAGTCTTAATGGCAGTAATTATATTACTAGCCTGATTGCAATTTTTGAAAGAATCGCTTCTGATTTTTTACAAACAAAGAAACAAAACCTGCTTTATACCCTAGCAGAATACATTTTTTTTATTAATCTTTCCTTTTTTTTGATACGAAAAAAAGAAAATATTACTCACCAGGCCTTTTGTAGTTCTAATTCCTGCTGCAACTGACAAGGATCCTGAAATAATAAACTAAGAAATGATAGAAAAACTGAAGGTAAAAAACTTTAAACAAGTATTGGAACTCATAACTTACTTTGAAATTAGATAGATAGGTTAAATCAGACCAATATTCTCAGGAAAAAAAAACACAAAAGTTTGCACATTATTTTCTCTTTTCCTAGAAAGAACAGGGAAATTATACCAGATAAATCCATGGGAGAATATATCAAGCTTTTCAAATAACACCTAACTGAAATGATATTAAAACTGTCTGAGGGCACTAAAAGATAGTTTCCAAACTCCTGATACAAAGTAATTCCTACATGGTACCAAAAGCGATGATGATACTTAAATGAAAAGTACTCTAAAATTATTCTCAGTCGGGCGCGGTGGCTCAAGCCTGTAATCCCAGCACTTTGGGAGGCCGAGGCGAGTGGATCACGAGGTCAAGAGATTGAGACCATCCTGGTCAACATGGGGAAACCCCGTCTCTAATAAAAATACAAAAAATTAGCTGGGCATGTTGGTGCATGCCTGTAATCCCAGCTACTCAGGAGGCCGAGGCAGGAGAATTGCTTGAACCTGGGAGGTGGAGGTTGCGGTGAGCCGAGATCGTGCCATTGCACTCCAGCCTGGGTAACAAGAGCGAAACTCCGTCTCAAAAAAAAAAAAAAAAAATTATTCTCATTTAGAATATTTTTTAAAGTTATAAGTAAAACAGTAGCAAAAATAAAAAATAAATTCACAATTAGATGATGACTAGAATACACTAGTTCATTTAATTCCAGCAGTAGGGCAATTATTTTTCATCTAACTAAAACAGCTAGTCAAGTTGGTTGGCCCCTCTACCTTAAAATATTCAATTCTTTTTTATTTGATTTTCAAATTTGATTTCAGATGATTCAAAAATTACACCTTCATATAAAAAATATTCAACTAACAAAAAAGCTCAATACATTTATTTAACTAACTTCCAAATACCCAGACATAGTGATGATTCATATTATCTAAATAGCTACTAGAATAAAAACACTAAAGGGAATCACCCATCATATAATATAAAATACATCATGAACATTTGGGATGCTCCTTCAACTCTACAAACATTTTTAATATTGAAATATTCTAATTTATGCAATTAAAGAATTTAAGAAAAAAATACATGCTAATTGCTATTCATGTTTGCAGTGTTGATAGGATAGGACATTTAATACAATTCAACATTATTGGCAATTTCAACATTACTGGTAAAATATAAAGAATTATACTTTCTGTAACATGATAGAAATCTGTTTCAATCTAGAAGTCTTTATTGTGTTCAATGATAAAAGAAAAGTAGGACCATTTCATTAAAGTTAAAATCAAGATAAAGTTAAAGACTATTATATAATAAATACTATTTGGGTAAATTAACCAAAATCATTATATAAAAAAAATAGTTGAAACAAATGGTTACAACTATTCTTATTAAAGTATGAACAATGTATATTGCAAACATCCAAAAATATGAACTAAAAAGTTCCATAAACTATTTTAAAAATTCAGTAAGTCACCTTGGAAAAACATTTTATACAGAAATTATTTACACATATTGTAAGTGTATATTTATGTTTGTGTATTTGAGAATAAGACTGAATAAGAGGACTTTATTCACCACAGGAAAAAATATGTATACAGTATCTCAGAGGAAAACATTTAACAAGGAATGTGCAACATACAGGAATAGAACTCAATAGAACTGAAGAGTCCAAAAACAAGAGAAACTTGTGAGTGGTTCTTGGTATTGATACTTACACTGTATGAGGGAGAAAAAGGAGGCACTTTACAGATGAGGTTTGGAAAGAAAGGTTGAAAGAATAATGGAAGGTGGCCGCAGAAAAGGTTTCACTAATTAAGTAAAGGCTCATTTAATGCAATGCCTACTAGAGTCTGCTGATGTCTCAGTGGAAAATGGCTCCCGCAGTTCCTGGTAATCTACTGAACATGTGTAGAAGATTTGCACCACATAAGCTGGTTTTCAATGTAATCTTGGAAATGGAAATAAAAGCAGAAAACTAGGTGGTTAGATGCATGTAATTCTGAAAATACGCTGGCACTATTTGAACCTTCATTTCTGTGCCAAATAGTTGTGATCTTGGGCAAGTTACTTAACCTCTCTTCATCCATAAAATAGTGATAATGAATAATCAGAAGTTTGTGGTAATTGTTTGAAGTGAAATTGTACATATAAAGCACTTAGTAGAGTGCCATATGATAGTAAGAGGTATTATTGGCATTAGTAATTTGGGATATATAAAGTATTGAGCAACTTTCCTGAAGTATCTGTTCTTCCAATCTCGCACTTCTGATGCAAACAGGTGAAGGGGAGCAAAAAGCAAGCTCTATTATAAAACTCTAAAATATCTCATTCTCACTTTCAGAAATAAATGGAAACCCTGTAATGCTAAAATAGACTCCCCGATTCTAACATAAATCCAACTTATAAATTTTATTTTTCTCTCATCAGTGGATAAAACTTGGTATTTTATTCTGTATGTTACTCTCAATTTGCATAAAAACTGTCTTGTGTTTTCTCTTGTAAGAAGGTCTTAACATTTAAATTCCAATTCTAATTTTAATTTAATATTAATAATAGTTTTAATTAATTTAATATTAATTATAATAATTATAGTTATTTTATTGAACTTATGAAACAAAATGTATCAAATACAACTTCATTTTCTAAGGTAACAATTTCCTGAGTTTCATTAGTCAGTAGATTAAATGTTAAAAACTGCTTGTGTGCCAGCCACATCTCCTCTTTCTCCTGCTCACTGAACCATCATTTCTTTCAGTTTCTCATGAGCTAAAAGGTAGGGTAGTATCCTCCCAGTTACAGAGGTAAATCTTGATTAGTACAAGCCAATAATGGCAAGTTCATTATTTTTACTGATAGTTGATTTGGGAATATGTTTATAAAATATTTACCAAAAGTGGAATGTGTCAACCATCTCCCTCTGATATGGTCTGCTAGCAGTCCTGTATGAAATCCTTATGCCATTGAATGAAGCAGTCCTAGAAGTGACAAGCCACTAATCTTGTTGTGAAATAATCAGTGCTTTCAATGTTTAAGCCATTCTGGTTTGGGTCTTTGGCAATGTGCTGCTGTAATATATCTAACTGACATATATAAATATTTAATCTACCCAGCTTTAATATAATACTATATTATTATTACTACTTTAAATATGATAAAATTGAATAAAAAATGGTTAGACACCACTCTCAAATTTACAGAATTATAAGATACAGTTAGACTAGGATTCCAAAGATGAGGGTATTGACAATTACTTTATGTTATCTTCAATTATATCTAAATATACTCTACTTACCATCACTGACCCCCAAATTGTGTACCCAATGTACACAGTAATCGGGTGAGGTCCATAAGCGTTAAATGCAATACACATCATTGTTATTCCCATGCTAAGGCTCATCAGAGCAATCAGAATCTGCACAACCTAGAAATGATGAAGAAAGTAAAAACTGATTATCCACCACAAAAATGATGCTTCCACCACCAGAGGTAATATCAATATTACCTCTCAGGATGTCTACCATTACCAATCATTTCAAGGTTAAAAGAGTATGCCAAAACCAGCCCAGAGGTGCTTTTCTGATACCTATGATGCTGCTTCTACCACAGTTCACTCAGAGAAGTGGCCTAGGAATCAGAAAGCAATTATTGTGGCAAGGGGAAGTAACCTGAAGAAAGGAGAATATATACAGGGGAAGAAAAAAAGAAGAGCAAATATATTTTCTTAAGGTCTAGGGTATGAGGACATGAGAATGAGTACACAGGGAACTAAAAATAGCAGAGTAGGAGTATCATTAACCCACGGCATTCAAAGCTTCAAAAACATTTAAACAACTTATCACGATTTGTGGGATGTAGTGAAAGCAATGCTTAGAGGAAAAGTTACAGCACTGAATGAGTATATTAGAAAATAATGATCTGAGTCCATGTGTTCTCATTGTTCAACACCCGCCTATGAGTGAGAATATACGGTGTTTGATGGGGGGGTGGGGAGGTGGGAAGAGATAGCATGGGGAGAAATGACAGATACAGGTGAGGGGACGGAAGGCAGCAAACCACACTGCCATGTGTGTACCTAAGCAACTATCTTGCATGTTCATCACATGTACCCCAAAACCTAAAATGCAATAAAAAATAAATAAATAAATAAATAAATAATAAAAAAAAATGATCTGAAATCAATCACCTGAGAGTCTACCTTAAGAAGCTAGAAAGAGAAGAGCAAATTAAACTCCAAGTAGGCAGAAGAAAAACTAGAATAGAAATTAGAGCAGAAAGCATGAAATCGAATGAACAGACAAAATCAATAAAATCCAAAACAGTTTTTAAAAATATATGTATAAATGAAATAAAGAAGCCTCTAGCCAGGCTAAGAAAAAGAGAGGACACAAACTACTAATATAAATGAAAGAAGGAACATCACTACAATTCCCATAGAAATTAAAATGATAATAAAATAATGCTATGAACAATTCTATGCCCACAGTTTGATAGCCTTGATAAAATGGGTAACTCCTTAAAGACAGTTTGTCAAAACTCACACAAGAAGAAGTAGACATTCTGAATATGCCTATAATTGTTAAATAAATTGAATCAATAATTAATAAATTTCCAAAACAGAAAGCATCAGACCTAGAAGGGCTCAGTGGTGAATTCTACCAAACACTTAAGAAAGAAATTATACCAATTATAATTATACCAATTATACCAATTATAACAGAAAATAGAAACAGAGGAAATACCCCCTAACTCATTCTATGGAGCTAGCACTATCATCTACCAAAAACCACGAAAAAACATTACAAGAAAAGAAAACTACAGATCAACATCTCTGATGAACAAAGCTATAAAAATCATCTACAAATATTTGCAAATGAAATCTAACAATGTATTTTAATTTATGTACCATGACTACATGGGATTTATCCCAGGTATGCAAAGCTGACTAAACATTCAAAAATTGATTAATGCAATTCATCACATCAACAGGCTAAAGAAGAAAAATCACATGATTATATTAACAGATGCAGAAAAACTATTGAACAAAATCCAATGCCTGTTTATTATAAAAACTTTTGAAAAACTATTAATAGAGGAGACCTTCTTCTGTTTGATAAAGAATATTTATTAAAAACCTACGGCTAGCCGGGCACGGTGGCTCACGCCTGTAATCCCAGCACTTTGGGAGGCTGAGGTGGGTGGATCACGAGGTTAAGAGATTGAGACCATCCTGGTCAACATGGTGAAACCCCGTCTCTACTAAAAATACAAAAAATTAGCTGGGCATGGTGGCACGTGCCTGTAATCCCAGCTACTCAGGAGGCTGAGGCAGGAGAATTGCCTGAAACCAGGAGGCGGAGGTTGTGGTGAGCCGAGATCGCACCATTGCACTCCAGCCTGGGTAACAAGAGTGAAACTCCGTCTCAAAAAAAAAAAAAAAAAAAAAAAAAAAAAAAAAAAAAAAAAACCTACGGCTAACTTCATAGTTGGTGGAGAATCCTGGAACTAACAAACAATTATATTAGGTTTGTAGGATACAAGGTTAATACACAAGTGTCAATTACTTTATTATGTACTTATAATCCAGAAGTAAAATTTGAAATTAAAAGCATAATACCATTTAAATTAGCACCCCTAAAAGTGAAATATTTAGGTATTGGTATTTGGTATTTGTTAGGTATCAGTCTAAAAAAAATGTACAAAATCTATAAGAAACTACTAGTTTTGATAAAATAAATTAAACAACTAAATAAAGGGAGAGATATTCCATGTCCATGGATAGGAAGACAAAATATTGTCACCATGTCAGTTCTTCCCAACTTGATTAGTAGATTTAATGCAATCTCCATTAAAATCTCAGCAAGTTATTTTGTGTATATTGATAAACTGACTGAAAAATTTATAGGGAAAGGGAAAAGACTTAGAATAGCAAACACAATATTGAAGAAGAATAAGGATTTGTAGGACCAACACTACCCAGTTTTAGGACATACTATAAAGTAATAGTAATCAGGACTGTGCAGTATTAGCAAAGAAATAGACAAACAGATCAATGGAATAGAATAGAAAGCCTAGAGATGGTCACATAAATATAGTCAAGTGATCCTTGGTAGTGAACTAAGGTAATACAATAAGAAAAAAAAAGAGTCTTTTTAAAAATAGCACTAGGCCAGGCGCATTGGCACATGCCTGTAATCCCAGCACTTTGGGAGACCGAGGCGGGTGGATCACCTGAGGTCAGGAGTTCATGACCAACCTAACTAACATAGTGAAACCGGTCTCTACTAAGTACAAATATATAAAAAGAAAAGCTTGGCATGGTAATACAAATAACTTGGCATGGTGACGCATACCTGTATTCTGAGCTACTTGGGAGGCTGAGACAAAAGAATCACTTGTACCTGAGAGGCGGAGGTTGCAGTGAGCTGAGATCAGGCCATTGCACTTTAGCCAGGGCAACAAGAGTGGGACTTCATCTCAAAAAAAAAAAAAAAGTACTTAAAAAATTTGATATCCATAAGTAAAAAATAAAACTTAGACACATACCTTATATCCTTCATAAAAATTAACTCAAAATTAATACAGACACAAACGTTAAACTAAAAACTATAAGGTGCACTAAAATCTCAGAAATTACCACTAGAAAACCTATCCATGTAACAAAAAACCTGTACCCCAAAACCATTGAAATTTAAAATTTTTTAAATAAAAGAAAATGTAGTGCTGGTGATAGGTTATGAAAAAAACATGCTTGTATACTGTTTTGGGGTGACGAATTAGTAATGCCTCCTTGCACCAAAATTAAAATACACATACTCTTCCATCCAGCACCTCCAATTAGAGGTATCTACCTGACAGACATGCTCATATGTGCACATAAAGACACTTACTCACACCACAGCATGACTTGTAATAGTAAGAAATTAGGAGACAAACTAAATTTCCAGTAGAAAGGAAATGGTTGAATCTTTTGTAGAAGGATAATATAGATGGCTAGGATTCTAAACAAACTCTTCTACTATAACAACTAAAATGCTAGAAAAAAAAAATACTGAAAACTAAGAAACACTAAGGAAAGATACAAATGGAGGTGGGAATCCAGGCTGGAAAGCAGAGAGCAGAAGTCGGCTCTCACTCTGAGGGCATCTGCCAAACCTAGAACACTTGTATTTCGTTCTGACAGTCTGAGGAATGCCAAGATCTGCCAAGAGTGGGCAGACTAATAGAAGATGTTCATCCCATAAAGCTAAGGCCCCAAAGGGCTATATTCTCAAAAGGAGGAAAAGAACCTGTAAGTTATACCCACAAGCTGTTCCTCACACTAATTTATTGCCAAGATTCACAGTCTGAGGTGGTCTTTAAAAATTATCACCCAGGCCGGGTGCGGTGGCTCACACCTGTAATCCCAGCACTTTGGGAGTCCAAAGTGGGTGGATCATGAGCTCAAGAGATCGAGATCATCCTGGCCAACATAGTCAAACCTCAACTCTACTAAAACTACAAAAATTAGCTGGGTGTGGTGGCACACACCCATAGTCCCAGCTACTCAGGAGGCTGAGGCAAGATAATCACTTGAACCCAAGAGGCGTGGGTTGCAGTGAGCCAAGACTGCACCACTGAATTCCAACCTGGCGACAGAGTGAGACTGGATCTCAAAAAAAAAAAAATTATTAACCATCATTCCATGTATACATATTTCAAAATGACATGCTGTACATGGTAAATATAGGCATTTTGTTTGTCAATTAAAAATGCATAAATAAAAAATGCATAACTTTTAAAAGGAAAAAAAAACCTAAAAACTATAAAACTCCTAACAGGTAACATAGGCCAAAATCTAGCTGATCTTGAGTTTGGCGATTAATTTGTCAATACAATACCAAAGGCATGACCCATGAATTACAGAATTAATCATCTTAATTTTCATAAAATTAAAAAATTCTGCTCTGCAGAAGAGATCGTCAAGAGATGAAAAGACAAACCACAGACAGGGAGAAGATATCAAAGGATCATTATCCAAAATACACAACAAACTTAAAACTCAACAATAAGAACATAAACATCCTTGTTTAAAACTGTGCCAAAGAATTTAAGAAAACGCCTTACAAAAGAAGATATAGAGATGGTAAAGAAGTGCATGAAACGATGCTCCACATCTTGTATCACAAGAGAAATGCAAATTAAAATGATGAGAGTCCACTAGCACCTATTAGAACAGTAAAAATCCAAAGCACTGACACTACCAATTGCCAGAGATTACGGAAAACAGCAGGAACTGATTCACTGTCAGTTGAAATTCTTCAAAATGACAAAGTCACATGGAAGACAGTATGGCAGTTTCTTACAAAACTAAACATACCCTTACCTACACTATAACAATCATACTTACCCAAATGAGTTGAAAACTTACCTCCACACATAATGTGCACATGGATATTTATAGCAACCTTACTCATAACTGCCAAAGTTTGGAAGCCATCAAGATACCCTTCAGTAGGTGAACGCACAAATGGTGGTACATCTAGACAATGGAATATTATTCCGTACTAAAAATAAATGAGCTACAAGCCATACGAAAACATGGAGGAAATTTAAATGCAGGTTATTAGGTGATGGAACACAATCTAAAAAACCCGCCTATTGTACAATTCCAACTGTATGACTTTCTGTAAAAGGCAAACAAACTATTAAAACAATAAAAGATTGGTGGTTGCCAGAGATTGGTGGGAGGAAAGGATGAATAGGCAGAGCACAGAGAATGTTTAGGGCAGTGAAACTACTTTGTATGATACTATAAAGGTAGATATATATCACTATACCCTTGTTAAAACCCATAGAACACACAACACAGAGAAGGAACCCCATTGTGATTCGTCTATTTTGAGGAATGATGTGTCAGTGGAGACTCATCAATTGGGACAAAGGTACCACTCTGGTGGGGAGGTTGTTAATTAAAAAGCTATGCATGTGTGAGGGTAAGAGGCAGATGGGATACATCTGTACTTTGCTGTCAATTTTTCTTTAAACCTGAAATTGCCCTAAAACATACAGTATATTTTAAAATAAGTATTTATACATTAAAAAATAAACCTAGTATGTGTCAACATAAGTAATATATTTTATGAAAAATAACTATATCCCCCCCCCCAAAAAAAATAAGTAATATGAAAAATGGATCCAAAATATTGTCAATGACATTTTCCCAGTGGTTCGAAGATTGGGCTAGTGATAAACCTATATTTAATATCTTTCACCTGCCCTATTCTGTCATTTTGTAAATCCTTTATTTCTTTTAGGCATGTTCACCTGAGACTCCAAATAGAAATGCTCAGAAAATAGATTTTTTTTTTCATTCTCTGAGCAGTAGGCTAAGAAAAGTTGCCAGAAAGAAATAGTAGCAATATGTATCTGTTTCAGCTATCAGGAAGGCCTGTGAAGAGAGCTGTTTCAGCTATCAGAAAGTCCTGTGAAGGGAGTGTCAGCTAGTAGTGCACAGGCGGCCTTTTCTTTTGCTGCTCTTCCATGCTGAGTTTAAATATAATTATCATGGATGACCCACAACCCTAGAATAGATCTGAAGCCAATATATTTCAAATATAACTCAATGGGAAGCATGTTGTGATAGAATACTATACAGTTTTTCAGATGAAGGGCCTGAAAAGTAAATGATGTTTCGAGGGCTGGCTGTTGTATTCTGAGGCTGGTAGGACAGTGCATTTGGTATTAGGTCTTATGAAATATGAGTTTATACCACCAGTGGTCTTCTCCTAGATTTGCAAGTGACTTACCCCAAGGACTTTGGGTTCCCCCTTCAAAAACTTCTCTTGCAACCCTTTCCACAGATACGAATGTAAGACAGCCACATTTCCCAGCTGGGGCACACCAGGGCCAGCCCCTGGCATGGTCTGTTCCATTCCTTGCATGGTTGTCATGGCAGCAGAAAAGGTGCTACAATAAGAAAGAAATGTGATTTAGGATGAGGTCCTGGAAATTACAAAGGAAAGACATGACACTTTGGGGCCGGTTCCTCCCTAAGGACAAAATCTGGTCTACATTCCCCTCCTATATCATAATAGCTGTTAGAGCCTGGGAAGTGGAATAGGCCACACATTAAGGATCGGGGGAGAGAGGGAGAAGCTACATGTCATATGATATCAAGGTGTTAGAAAGTCCTCAAGAGAGGGAGGTGTTGACAGAAGTGAGGTAAATATGTTGGACCTTTAAAATTAGAGAAATTTCTTTAAGTTCAAATTCCAAATCTGCTCAGATTTGATTTCTATCCCTCTTACCGCCTGGTCCCTTGATTATAACCACTTCCCCAGGAAGGATTACTTTTATAATAGTACTAAGGTATACAAAATCCTCTGTCTTCCAATTTTTGTACAGTATTGTATGGTTCTCCCTTTTCTAATCAGAGCACAATTAAATTCACAGGGCTGAAAATATTACTGAGGTGTTTCATTACCCACTTCCGTAAATTCTTAGGGAAGTGAAGCTTTCTAATGTCCTTCAAGTAATAGTTAATTTTGATACTATTTATGCTCCATTGAAACCCTACAAAAGTCTTAAGTTTGGAGATGTCTGCCCTTTTATTGGTAACATAAATGAAAAAAAAAGTGTTATTGTACTTCAAATTTGCTATGTTGAGAAAAAATTAGGATTTATTTGAAAGAATTATCATCCTGTATTTGTTTTTGATGCATCAATGGAATTATTAGCTATCTAACAATATTAAATTATTAGCTATCTAACAATATTAAATTATTAGCTATCTAACAATAAAACGGATTAAAGTGAGAAGGAGGAGGGTGAATTTCAGAGAAAGGAAAGTTAAAATGAGACAACAGATGCTGGAGGGGATGTGGAGAAACAGGAGCACTTTTACACTGTTGGTGGGAGTGTAGATTAGTTCAACCATTATGGAAGACAGTGTGGCGATTCCTTGGATCTAGAAATAGAAATTGCATTTGACCCAGCAATCCTATTACTGGGTATATACCCAAAGGATTATAACTCGTTCTAGCATAAAGACACATGCACATGTATGTTCATTGTGGCACTGTTTATGACAGCAAAGACCTGGAACCAACCCAAATGCCCATCGATGATAGAGTGGACAAAAGAAATGTGGCATATATACACCATGGAATACTATGCAGCCATAAAAAATGATGAGTTCATGTCCTTTGTAGAGACATGGATGAATCTGGAAACCATCACTCTCAGCAAAACTGACACAAGAACAGAAAACCAAACACCACATGTTTTCACTCATCGGCGGGTGATGAACAATGAGAACACTTGGGCACAGGGAAGGTAACAACACTCACAGGGCTAGGTGGAGGTGGGGAGGGGAGGGGAGAGGAGGGACAATATGGGGAGAGGATGGGGAGGTATAACACCGGGAGAAATGCCTGACATAGGTGACGGGGGCAGGGGCGGGGTTGGAGAAAGCAAACCACCATGGTATGTATGTGCCTATGCAACAATCCCACAGGATGCAGGATGTGCACAGGTATCCTACAGACCAAATGCAATATTTTTTTTCAAAAGACAAATATGTAAAATAAAAAATGTAAATATGACTGAAGTAGTTAAGGCATTAAATATAAGAATGTAACCAAAAAGTTAATCTTCTTATCACTTTTAGAAAAGTTCAGAAAACAACTTGGACAAACAGAATTAGAACTCCATTCTGTTATGAAAGTGGGAAACAGCTAACATTTCTATAAATCAGATAAAATTAGTGTTAAAAACAAAGATTACATGAGGATGAATTTGGGGGAACGTGTAGAGAGAGTATGAAAGAAACAGGACACCATGGCCAGAGATTTCAGAGTATACTTATCAAAGATGAAAGGCTCCCTGAGGTATGCAACATAAATTATTGTTTATAATCCTGAGAATTAAATATGTAAGTAGATAACTATCACTTCACTGGAAAAGTATAGTTCAGAGAATCACCAAAGTCAGCAGTAAAAGAGAAATACACTGAAAAGCCACATGTTTAGAAAGCAATCAGGCTCCAAATAAGTCTTACATTGGATTCTGCAAAGAAGTAAATAGATATCCTTGATACAACCTTCCAAGAAGTCCCACAGATTAGGAGCATCTGTTTGTGTGTGTATGTATATATATATAGAATATGTAAAGAGTATGGATAACTTATTCAAATAAAAATGAAATCAAAACAATGAAAAGTCAAAGATAAAGTTCATAGAGTGAGAGGGCATATTTGCAACATGGTCTCAAACAAATTTCAAATATAATATAATGTTGGCCAAAAATAATTGGCCAATGTGTTAAATAACAAGGAATAGCTGAAAATAGAATTAGTCAACTGGAAGAAAAATTTTAAGAAATCACCAAGAGTTCCATAGAGAAACAAAAAAATGGTCATAATACAAGAGAGTTAAAATATTAGAAGGGTAGAATTAAAAGGTCTAGAATATATCTGATTAGAATTCTAGAGAATGTCACCAAGATTAGCCAACTAGAAATTACTAACCCTCATCACCATCAACATACATACACACATACACATCAAAAAATGAATAAACTATATTCCAACCAAAATAACTGAAGAAGAGCACCAGAAAACAGCAAAGGAGTAGCAGAAATCTTACGGAGCACTGAAACACAGGATGGTTGCATGAAGGGAGAAAGCATATTTCTTACACCACCCCTGCCCCCAATTAGGACCCTGGTTCAGCACGTCCTTCTTCCTGCAGGGAATAGGTAATGAGAGGACTCAGCAGCTCCCATCCCCACCATGGACACCTGCAGTCTTACTACTGGAGACACTCTGAGTCTTCACAGGCTCTGAGCTCTGCTGACAGAGCTACCTGAAGTCCACATGTCTGTCCTATCTCAGAGGAGGTGCCGACACTGCCCTGGCCTCCATGACCTGAGCTGCTACTATGCTGCCCCTTCTTGGAACTGAATCAGTGCTAGAGTGCATTCTGCTTCAGGAGTAGCCACTGCACCCCTCCATCTCTGAGGCTTAACCACCACTATAACGTGCATACCTGGTAGCCATACCTGAGTCAAACTGATGCCATCTACTCTCTACCTTCTGAGGCCGGGCTGCCATGGAACTGCTCCATACCCCAATCTTAGTTGCTGGTGCACCCTGGCCCTCCAAACTCAAGCTGATACTGTGTACCACTCTCTGGGGACACGTAGCTTTGACTGAACTATGTCACCCAAACATCCAGGCAAAATAGCTGCAGTGCCCCCACCTCCCTGGAACTAACTAGTCCCTTGGAGTCCAAGCTTCTGAGAGACCCTGGCTCCCCTTGGGGTCATTTTTGCATTGCTTCAAGAAACCTGAGGACCAAGCCACAGACAGGCCTAGTCATTCCTCAGGACTTGCTGCTGCTACATTCAGCCTTACAGAGCCTGGGATATCACCATGTCCTCCTACCCCAGGATCTAGAGTTACCACTCTACAGCACTCCATCCCCCAGGGTTGGAGTTGCTGCTGTGTCTGATTGGCTCTGAAACCCAAATTTCAACTGTAACTTGCTCCCCAGAGCTGAAGCCTCCAAAGCACCCCTCTTTCCCTGGAGCCATGCTGGTGTTGTACACTGACCCCAGAATCAGTAACTATTCCATCCCTGCCCTGTGGGCTTGAGTTACTGAGGTATGCCTTAGAGTCAGAGCCTCATCGTTGTGGGTGATCTGCATCCAGCCATGTCTTGGTGAGTGAACTTGTGCCACAGTAGTTTTGCAAGACCCTGAGCCCAGGACCCCAGTTCCACAGCCACTATAATACTTGTGCCTAAAATGTACAAGCTGTCAACCTCAATGGCAACCATGTGGTGTTAACTATACATGCTCACAGACTGCAAGAGCTATAGGGGCATGGCTTTCCCCACCTAGTTTCAAAGGATGTCACGGATAGCTCTGGGAGTGGAGCCACTTCAAAGAGCCTCTATCAGGGCAATGCTGAGTGAGAATATGGGGTGAGAGCCAACACTGAGAGTCCCAGTTAGGGATATGCCTAGTGGAGCCATGGGAGTGAGGCTACATTTGAGATCTCAATAGCCTCAAAATTTTTACCCATTCCAGCATCAACTCTAACATTCTAAGTCTACAGTCACATCAGAAGCAGATATGGATGAGACTTGAGATATGATTTATCTGGAGGCAAATGTTTCCAGCTGTGAGACTGTGAAATCAAAACAAGTGATTTGTTTTCAAAATATTATGGTGGGACAGGTACAGAATAGACTCTCTCAGTTCAAAAGAAAGAACTAGGCAAGAAAAAGGCCTAACTGGTTTCAAGTGAGTCCAAAACCCAGCCGAGAAAATAGCATTAAGCTTTAAATCTGGAGAATAATTTCCTTTGACTCCATGTCCTGAATCCTGAGGACACTGACTGGGGACCCTCTGAGGGTCCCCAGACAGCCCTACACCCATATCTTTGCTGGATTCAGTCTGTGCTTCAGCTCTGTTAGGTTGGAGTTGTGTGCTAGTGGTCCTGTAGTTCTGAGATCTCAAAGGTAGCCTCACTCCCACGGCTTATCCCAAGACCGGAGCAGGTTGAAGCAGGAGCCTGCTAGAAATAAAGTCCTCTCCAGCATTTCATTGAGTGGCAGGAAATGTTAGAGGAAGTTTATGTTTTATGCTTCAAGCCAAAAATGAGTAAGTGATAGTAGGAACACCAATAGAAGTATTTAATATGTACTTAGCATTTATTAAATAATATGAACTAGTTTAAATATTTCATATGTGTTATTTCATCATTAAATTCTCCTGAAAGATATACTCTATTATTTACAGGACAGAAATACAGAAACAGAAGGTTAAGTAACTTGAGTAAAGAGTGGCAGAGCCAAAAATTAAATCCAGGTGATGGAATTCCAGAACTCCTTTGCTTAAGAGGATCCACTCTGCTAGTCTGGTGAGTAGAAGATCTCCACATCCTCAAATTTTATTACACGTGGGGAAATTGTCCCTCTCTGGGCTTAACTTAAAATCATTATAATAAAGCCCATAAATTGACAATTTATCTGCTTGTTCCAGAAGAGAGAAGAGGTAATTTTTATTTCAAAGCTTAGAAGACCTAAATAGAAGATATTCAGTCTTCCTCAAAAGTTTTCTTTCAAAAAAGTAAGGTGGTGCAAGGAATAGTAAGTGGAGATTATTTCAGAGCCCTACAAGTAGTCCCTAATCAAGAGTGGCAAGAGTTAAATGTAACAGGAACCCTAAGAAGCTTATGGGACTGCAAATGTCCTTTTTTGGTGGAAGGCCCAGAAATTAACTTAATTGTCCATGTTAAAGATCTGGAAGCTTAAAGTTGGGCATTGTGGTGCCTCACTTTGAGAGGCCAAGGTGGCTCACTTTGAAAGGCCAAGGATCTCTGGAGCCCAGAAGTTTGAGATCAGACTGGGGAACATGGCGAAACCCCATCTTTACACAAAATACAAAAAGAGCTGGGTGTGATGATGGGCGCCTGTAATCCCAGCTACTCAGGAGGCTGAGATGGAGGCTGCAGTAAGCCATGATGACACCTGTATACTCCAGTCTGGACAACACAGTGAGACTCTATTTCAAAATATCTGGTAGTTTGTCACTGATGCCTTCTATTGTCTACCCTCTATGCTCAATCTCATTCTAATCCTACAGAACCATTTTTCAATGTATTTCTGTGTATTTCTTCCATCTTCTCAAGGCAAACCATTATCCTATATTTGTCAGAGTATTCATTATAGCCTCTGAATGTTCCCTGTGTCCATCTGTGGCTTTCAGTAGTCAATCTACCACTGACTTTGTAACCAGAATGATCAAATACAAAAATAATTGTGCCACCCTGCCCTTTAAAAGCCTTCCTTTGCATTTCATCACCCTTAGCATAAAGTTAAAATTTTTAATGTTGAGAAAAACTCTGCTACTTCAGCACAAATCTATTCTCATAGACTTAACTTGAATGTCTCTCCTTTTCATTTTAAAGTCCCAAATATATCTGACTTATTTAAGTTGTTCCAGAAAGTTAATTTTATTTCTATATTGAGACATTTGCATATATTGAACCCATTTGCAGGAATGTTCCACCCCTCTCCATGGCCACCTTGTAAAAACAAAAACAAACCCACCACATCATCTAGTCTTCTCACACACTAACATTGCATGGTCTCTGTCTTCTCTCAGACACTATTCTCCCCCTTCCCCACCATCGCCCACACGTGGATTAATCAACCTATGATGGTAACGAAGGGTTTAAGCAATCTATGTTATTTCCCTTTTGCATCACAGAAGTCAACGTTATTTGTAAAGTAACTGAAGATGATTCTTCTTAGTCCATCTAAATGTGTACTTCATTCTTCTTTAATGTAAAGGAACCTCTGTCTCAATCTCTTAGACACCACCTTCAGACTGAGAATTTAGGAAATGTTGGGCCTATCTTATCAAATACACTGGTGGTTCTTCCTCTGCGTTTAGTGTCTCCGTTAAGACTGTAAACTTCCCAAGGGCAGAGCCATTATATCAAAATAAAACTTATAACTGGCTCCTAAGCTTTTCCATGATTCTTTGGTGACATAGGTCAGGTTCTGGTCATTCGAGGCTGGTGCTTTGTCGCTCTAAGAAACTCTGGCCATAAACTCATATAACTGCTTCCTATTTTTACAACACAGAAATTCAAATCCATGTGTTAGTTATTCATGGCAGATAAAGTCCCCAAGGACAAAAACATGTGTTAACCATCCAGGGCTCGACATCTCTATATTCAAAAAAATTTTTTAAACAGCTGAAAATATTGGATACATATGAGGGACATTTCTTCTGGGTATGAGAAGAATCTGAACCTTGGTTTTGTCACATCACCTGTATGCGTCAGGCTCTTGACAATAATAATGTCTTCTCCCCACCCCCACCAGATAAAGAGGCGGGGGAGACCTAGACCACCCTTCCCTCTTCTGTTGGCTCCAATCTCCTTGTGGATCAGCAGCACCACCAGTCTCTTGTTTTCTCATTTTTATGTCACCACACCCCTCATGGGTCACAGTTGCAAAAAGAGAACATGAGGAGAGTGGAACAAATGGCCTCTTTTTTTTTTTTTTTTTTTAAATCTTGGCAAAGTTATTAAATAGACTAGAAACTCAAAATGAGGCCTGAACCTGGATGGTTTTTGGGAGGATGATGGGGATGCAGAAATGGTGGCACAGAGAGGGAAAAGGCCTGGACTAGGAAACAAGAATTCTGGGTGTTTTTGCTCCCAGCACTTTTATTAACTTATGTGATTCTGGGTCCATTAGTTCCCTTTTCTGGGTTTCATTTACTTCACCTGGGGAAAGATTACAATGGCTATGACTACGTACAAGCTTCTTTCTTATCCCAAGAATGCTAAAAGTCTGCAAGGTGTTTTTCATTAGCAAATTTTCTCATGAGCAGCCTCAGTTTACTGCCTGGGTGCCCCATGAATAGTGCCAAAGACCACTGGAGAACTAGATAAAGCCACAGCCCAATGTACAAGGCTGGGGACCCTGCCGGCACCCTGCTCCATGTACACCAAATTCTGCACGTGGTAGATATTTTCTTAAATCTTAAATTATAAAAATAACCAGTCAGGGACAGAATAAAGACAGTGGAAGAAGGACATTAACAGTAGACGAGGTAATCAGTCAAAAGTTTAAAATACTGCTTTCTGTGTTTTGATATTCTGAGGACTTGGGGAACAAAAGTAAGTAAAACAACCTCATCCAGCCTCCAACTTCAGTGTTTAGGACACTTTTCTAACTCCCATCGACTGTAGCAAGGACTATTCCTCATCCCCCCACCAAATGCACATTTAAAGGTGCACTCAACCCACCTCAATCCTGAATACCAGTTTGTGTCATGGGAAGTGGCCTCATTTTTTTCTCACTCTGCTCCCAGAAATCCTAAACCCAGAAAATAAACCTTCAGCCCAAAAGTCTAGAAAGGCAAGTCCCTGGACCTACCTTTCTTCAGGCCTTCAATATTCACCGTAGGTCTGATGCACGCAGTGCTCTGGGCAAGTTCCACAGAGTTCTTTAGTCTAGACCCAGTGAACTTCCCCTACTCCACACCTCACTCACTTTAAATCTGCATTCCTCTTCTAACGGATGTTTGGAAGCTTAAAGGCTCTGTTGAGAATTTCTGAGAAGCACAACTAGTTCCTCTTTTATATCGGAAGCATTAACTGATTTTGTGTTCCCAATATGGGTGTGGATGTCTATTCGGAAATTTGCTGAAAAAGCAGTGACTGCCTGATATAGTCTTTCCTGTGAAAATAATAGTGCTAATTACTGTGGATATCAGTGGTGGAGGATCTACTGTATGCCAGCCTCTGCTCAAAGGTCATTATATACACAAGCTAAGTAAATGGTATTTTGTAAGTGCCCCCTTTCACAGTTTTACACATTTCCACAGTACTCTTGTCTTCCTGGAGAACTACTATTACTATTTTATTAGGCTGGTGCAAAAGTAATTGTGGTTTTGGCCATTATTTCATGGCCAAAATCACAATTACCATTGCACCAACCTTAATATACACAACTTAAATGTTTTATTTACATGAAATCCCACCTTCAAAGATTCATCATGAGTGGCCATAAAATGGCAACAAGCTGGTTGTATGACAGTAAAACAACACCTTTCTAAGTGAAGGAAGCAGCCGATATCATAAAACCAACTGGTCTTTGACTAAGATAAAACCAATGGCAATCATTTATTACATGACCTTGTTACTACCCTGAACCTAAGATTAATTTGTAAAATAACATAATGCCTACTTAACATGGAGGCGAAAAGCAAAGTAGTGGGCAGTTGTCATTCATTCAGCATTTTCTTTAGAAAAACTACTAAAGGCGTGGTAGCTCATGCCTGTAATCCCAGCACTTATGGAGACCGAGCCAGGCAGATCACCTGAGGTCAGGAGTTTGAGACCAGCCTGACCAACATGGAGAAAACTCTGTCTCTACTAAAAATACAAAATTACTTGGGAGACTGAGGCAGGAGAATGCTTGAACCCAGGAGGCGGAGCCAAGACCATGCCACTGCACTCCAGCCTGGATGAGAGTAAAATTCTGTCTCAAACAAAAGAAAAACTACTGTAAGCCAAACAGTGTGCCATGTGCTTCTGATAAAATGGTAAAAAAGTAATTTTCACTCAAGGAGTTTATAGACTACTTGGAAAAACAGACCAGTAAATAAATCACTACAACCCATTATAATCAGTTATCTGCAAGGTAAAGTGGCAATACAGATGAGTAAATAAATCGTTACAACTGATTATAATCAGTGATCTGCAAGGTAAAGTAGGATATTGTAAGATAGCTCATGGGAGGATCAATGAACCCAACATTGGGTAGGCAGAGGAGATATCCTAGATAAGGGAACATCTAATTGGAGACCTGATGAATGAGCAAAAGATACACTAATGGATGGAGAATGAAGAAAGGTAACATATTTTTCAGAAGAAGAAAATGAAAAAAATCAGAGATAGTCCTATAGCTGGCATAGATGAGATTGAAATCCAGTTTTGCTCTATTCCAAAAACTATGTGGCCTATAATCTAAAATTATAATTATCAGAATTAAAATAGATTCTATTTCAGAAATACTGTCCTGATTTCATGTAAAGAAACAACAGGAATAAATAATAATACAATCAGAAAGGCTCAAGGAAGAGGCAGTTCTCTAGGGAAGGGATGATGGTTACCTGAACTACCTGTGATGCTAGTGAAGTTGGAGAGAATGAATGAATTTGAAAGATGTTTAGGAAAGAGAAATGACAGTATTTGTTGGTAGAATGAATGTGTAAATCAGGAGAGAAAACAGGAAAGGATGGCACTCAGATTCTGGGTTAGGAAACTGAATGAGTGATACAGCCATTCAATATGGCAATAGACATGGACTGGGATGGAACTGCAGGAACAAAGAGTTAAATTTTGAACGTATTTAATCAGAGTTGTTTAGAGACCTTCAAATATAGTTGACAAGAAGTGGATAACTGGTGGGAGCTAGGGAATAAGATCATGGCTGTAGAGGTAAACCCAACCACTCTTCACCCAGAGGAATGAGGTCACCCAGGCTTGTGGGTGGAGACAGAAAATGTCAAACCCTTTTTTGCTAGAGGATAGAATCAGTGTAATCAGAAATAACAGTTCCCAGAGGATTATGAAAAAGAGAGTAAGGAAGGTAGCAGGCAAACTTGGAAAATGTGGTGTTGCAGAAGACAAGGACACAAGAGAGCTTGAAATTCTTCACTAAGGACAGATATCACTGTCTCCTCCCACTCCATGTGTTGTGAAACGAGACATTATTAGCTTATTAGCAGGCAACAATTTCAAGAGAACAGTAACATGAAACTTGACAGGGAAACATATATCTTATAGAATCACTCCACCTATAAGTAAACATCAAACAAAGCTAACTACTATAGAAATAAGAGCAAATCAGAAAGAGCTCAAGTTCAGTCTCAAAACTACAAGAAGCAGGGGAGTAGGTCGGGGCTCAGAGCAGTTGTTAAGGTAGTTGCTTTCTAAAATTACATTGGAAAAGCTGGGTCAATTGTTCCTCTTTCTCTCACACAGGCATCACATAACAAGGTGTTTATTCCCAAAACAAAATATGACAGCTGTTTTATGAACAAAATTATGGTTCTGCTCTAGATAAGTATACAGAATGCGAGTGTCAGCTCTGCATTAAAAAAAAAGAAAAAACAGGAAAGAGACAAGAATAACATCTAAACTTCAATTAACAGGGTATACAGAAAAAGAAAAAAGCAGAGAAAATTATTATGAAATTGATCCCTAAATGAAAGTCCAGAGTTCACTCTCTGGAGCTGGGATTCTGATCATGGAGACAGAGAGGCCACCTTAGTCTGGAGAAGTAGGGGGCTTTCTCCCACCTACATCACAGTCATTGTATGTATAACCTGGCTTCATGCCCACTCCGTGTCCCTCAGTCACCAGATGTAGGCAATGGAAGCAGGATCTACATTCCCTGATATGATAAGAGAAATTACCAAATGAAAGTGTAAATGGACACTGAAGATTTAAGGAAACCAATAACGTAAAATAAAAAAACCAAAGACAACAAACAAATGAACAAACAAAAAATGGTTTCTATTATTTGGTCAATGGTTCTGTATACCCTTAACTCCCCTTTATTGCATTATTTCTCTCTCCAATTAATTTAATAGTTATAAAGTCTTTTACTATGTGTTTTCTTTTTTTTATTGCATTTTAGGTTTTGGGGTACATGTGAAGAACATGCAAGATTGTTGCATAGGTACACACATGGCAGTGTGGTTTGCTGTCTTCCGTCCCCTCACCTGTATCTGTCATTTCTCCCCATGCTATCTCTTCCCACCTCCCCACCCCCCGCCCCTCTCCCATTTCCCCCCAACGGACCCCAGTGTGTAGTGCTCCCCTCCCTGTGTCCATGTGTTCTCATTGTTCAACACCCGCCTATGAGTGAGAATATACGGTGTTTGATTTTCTGCTCCTGTGTCAGTTTGCTGAGAATGATGGTTTCCAGGTTCATCCATGTCCCTACAAAGGACGTGAACTCATCGTTTTTGATGGCTGCGTAATATTCCATGGTGTATATGTACCACATTTTCCCTATCCAGCCTATCATCGTTGGGCATTTGGGTTGGTTCCAGGTCTTTGCTATTGTAAACAGTGCTGCAATGAACATTCGTGTGCACGTGTCCTTGTAGTAGAATGATTTATAATCCTTTGGATATATACCCAGTAATGGGATTGCTGGGTCAAATGGGATTTCTATTTTTAGGTCCTTGAGCAATCGCCACACTGTCTTCCACAATGGTTGAATTAATTTACATTCCCACCAACAGTGTAAAAGTGTTCCTATTTCTCCACATCCTCTCCAGCATCTGTGGTTTCCCGATTTTTTAATGATTGCCATTCTAACTGGTGTGAGATGGTATCTCAATGTGGTTTTGATTTGCTTTTCTCCGATGGCCAGTGATGATGAGCATTTTTTCATATGTTTGTTGGCCTCCTGTATGTCTTCTTTTGTAAAGTATCTGTTCATATCCTTCGCCCATTTTTGAATGGGCTTGTTTGTTTTTTTTCTTGTAGATCTGCTTTAGTTCTTTGTAAATTCTGGATATCAGCCCCTTGTCAGATGGGTAGACTGCAAAAATTTTTTCCCATTCTGTTGGTTGCCAACTCACTCTACTGACGTTTCTTTTGCCGTGCAGAAGCTGTGGAGTTTGATTAGGTCCCATTTGTCTATTTTGGCTTTTGTTGCCCTTGCTTTCGGCGTTTTGGTCATGAAGTCCTTGCCTACACCTATGTCCTGAATGGTTTTGCCTAGATTTTCTTCTAGGGTTTTTATGGTGTTAGGTCTGATGTTTAAGTCTTTAATCCATCTGGAGTTAATTTTGGTGTAAGGTGTCAGGAAGGGGTCCTGTTTCTGCTTTCTGCACATGGCTAGCCAGTTTTCCCAACACCATTTATTAAACAGGGAGTCCTTTCCCCATTGCTTGTTTTTGTCAGGTTTGTCGAAGATCAGATGGTTGTGGGTATGTTGTATTTCCTCTGAGGCCTCTGTTCTGTTCCATTGGTCTATATCTCTGTTTTGGTACCAGTACCATGCTGTTTTGATTACTGTAGCCTCGTAGTGTAGTTTGAAGTCCGGTAGTGTGATGCCTCCTGCTTTGTTCTTTTTGCTTAGAATTGACTTGGCTATGCGGGCTCTCTTTTGGTTCCATATGAAGTTTAAGGTGTTTTTTTCCAGTTCTGTGAAGAAGGTCATTGGTAGTTTGATGGGAATAGCATTGAATCTGTAAATTACTTTGGGCAGTATGGCCATTTTCACGATGTTGATTCTTCCTAACCATGAAGATGGAATGTTTCTCCATCTGTTTGTATCCTCTCTTATTTCGTTGAGCAATGGCTTGTAGTTCTCCTTGAAGAGTTCCTTTACGTTCCTTGTTAGTTTTATTCCTGGGTATTTTATTCTCTTTGTAGCAATTGTGAATGGCAGTTCGTTCTTGATTTGGCTCTCTTGAAGTCTATTACTGATGTATAGGAATGCTTGTGATTTTTGCACGTTGATTTTGTATCCTGAGACTTTGCTGAAGTTGTTTATCAGTTTCAGGAGACTTTGGGCTGAGATGATG